CTTTTCGCCTTGCGGCCACGAACACTTTGGGGTGTGCGCTTCCGTGACTTCTTGTCACGGTTCATTGACTTCTTGGTGACGGCTCCGGCTCCGGCGGTAACGGCTCCGGCATTCACCGGACAAGATGGTGCGGTAGCAGTGCACCCACCGCTGGCTACGTCAAGCCCGGCAACCGCCGTCACCGCCCCCGCTTCTCCACTCTGCTGCCGATCTATGCTCTCCACGTCGTCCACCTCGCTCCCAAAGGTTGCCACCCCACCGCTGCCGGTCTCCCCTGTCGTCCAGGGATCCAGCACGGTATTACCAGCTCCCCCAAAGCCCGTTGGGGTCGAGCAAGACACGGATGCCGATGTTGCCGACGGTATCTCCTGGTCCCTCGCCCCGCCTCCGCGGACCTCAACCGCCCGTCCCGGCGACGTCGCTGTAGGCACTCCTCCGATCCGGGCGTCACCCTCACCCGACCCTTCGCCCTGCAAGACCAATTGCACGAAGGTACAACGGCCACTTCATAGATGAAAACCAGAATCACAGGCGGTATGAAGAATCAACCTAGCCAAGGCTGGGGGGGGAGGCGGGGGTACTCAGAGTCGTGCATGCCGTAGTCCTTAGACCATTGGTCTCGCATCCCTACAAAGCCGGGACGGAGCACGCCGGGTTCTCACCGGATCAGGCTCTCACATCACTAAGCGCGAAGCGACGTGAGATATTCGGCGAGTCGCACGAAGAATGCGCTGCATCCTGCTGAGGGTGTTTGACATCCTGTGCTTACTTCCTTGCGCAGGGATGACAGCTGCGTATGACTTAATATATTTTCTGGTGCTTTCACTTCCAGGGACAGTTATAAGCACGGTGTAACTGCCTTGAGGATGCGTGACCATTTTGACTCACGTGGTGCGATCATCCCCCTTGCGCGGAGTGAGGATTGCCCACCCCGCACAACATGATCTACTCGACCACCATTATGGTAACCGTAAAAAAAAAAAGAAACAGAAAAAAAAAAAAACGGTAACCTGGTTGCCGAGTTCACG